CTCTTGCCTGCATATAGGAAGATTCATGAGACAGATCAGGAGAGGATTCTACTACTTTCGAAAGCTGGGTTTCCTATACATCGTATAGTGAAGGTTTTGGAGTTAGAAAAAGGCATTCAAGGTGGGCAATTGCCTTTTTTTGAGAGAGATGTTAGGAATTTTTGTTCAAAACCGGAAGAAACTGGTTCAAGAAAATGATGCTTTGCTCAATGAGAAAAGAGAAAATGATACGTTGGAACTTCTTGAGGCATGTAAAGCAACAAAAGAGGCAGATCAAGACTTTGTTTATGATTTTACAGTAGATCAGAATGATAAGATTGAGAACATTGCTTGGTCATATGGTGTTTCTGTTAATTCATATGCCTTGTTCGGTGATGTTGTTTATTTTGAAACCACTTATAGATCCATCACATATGATATGCTTTTTGGGGCATGGTTCGGAATTGACAACAATGGTCAACCAATTTTCTTTGGTTGTGTTTTATTGCAAGATGAAACATTACGCTCCTTTGCATGGGCCTTACAGGTTTAATGCATTAACACTCTGCATTTTATGTAGGCTTTTATGTATCTTCTTCGTTTAGACTTTTTTCTTTGCCTTTTGGTGCAGACACTTATTCGCTTCATGAAAGGGAGATGTCCACAGACAATTTTAAGTGATCTTGATCCACGGCTTAGAGATGCTATAAGAAGTGAATTACCGAGTACTAACCATGTCATGTCTATATGGGACATTCTTCCCAAGGTATCTAGCTGGTTCTCAATTCAGCTTGGGTCTCAGTATGAAGAATTTAAATCAGAGTTTGATACATTGTATCGCCTGGAGAGTACGGAGGAATTTGAGCTGCGATGGAATCAAATGGTTTCCATATTTGGACCTGGTTCAGATAAACATATTACTTTACTGTACAATCTTCGCACATGTTGGGCACTGTCATATGTGAGAGTTCATTTTCTTGCTCGAATGGCAACAACAGCCTATTCAAAGTCTGTAGATGCTTTCTTGAAAGGGATCTTCAGTGCTCAATCATGTTTGCGTGGATTTTTTGAGCAGGTATGTCGATTACAAATTCTGTATTTGAATCCCTCTACTATTTCTTTTCATTTTTGATATGTTCGTTGCTATTATGATTGATTTTCAGGTTGGCGTTGCAGCCAATGTACAAAACCAGCCACATCAAGAGATGCAGTATATGCATATGAAAACATGCTTACCCATTGAAGAGCATTCACGTCAAATTCTTACACCCTTTGCATTCAATGCTCTACAAAATGAATTAATAGTAAGCATGCAGTATGCTGCATCAGAAATGTCCAATGGATCATATCTTGTACGTCATTTCAGAAAGATTGATGGTGAATGTCTTGTTGTATGGATTCCAGAAGATGAACAGATTCACTGTTCATGTAAGGAGTTTGAGTCTTCTGGGATACTCTGCAGACATGCTCTTCGTGTATTTATAGATAAGAACTACTTTCAACTTCCTGACAAATACTTTCTAAGTAGATGGCGAAGGGAAAGCACTTTGATGTTTTACGATGATCATTCTGTTCTTCACAAAGATGATGCATGGTTTCAAGAATTCCAGTCATTAACTGAAACTCTATTTACAGAATCATCAATTACGAAAGAGCGTTCTGATTATATTCGTAGGGAGCTGACAAAGAAACTTACAACACTCCTCAACGAGGTTAGAGATATGCCAGAAAGTGATGGTGTACCCATGGATTTTACGCTTACACCAACGGATTAGTCAGAGAGTGGTTAAAGCTGCATTTCAGAGTAAATAGAACCACTGGATACCACAATAACAAAAGTGATAACTATATAAAAGTAAGTGTACCATGAAGATGATCATGTTGTAGTTGGCAGTAGTTCAATTTTTACATGCAAGTGGAAAGAATGTTGTTGGAAATTTGAGATGTGAACTTACTTACGGTAGCCTGCAATTTGAGATGTCATTAATGTTTTCTTCAGCCCTCGTATCCACATTGAAAATAATGGTGAAGTAATCACTGAACTTAGTTTGCTTCCACCTTCTCATTTGGCGTATTTGCCTCTGGAAGATATTTTTTTTGTAGTCTTTTCCTTTTTTTTTGTGCTTAGAGCTCATTTCTACAGTTGTATTTATTTCATTTCAGTGTATGTTTTAAATTGTGCTTTTGTAGTTCATTGTGTCATATCAACAGTTTTCTTTTAAACCAGAAGACAACCTCTTCATTTGTAACATAGATGGGTTGAAAAACTACATGGTAGCACTATTTCTTCCATGTTTTGCATGGTGCCAGACAGATCTAATTAGGTTATTGGTACTGGGAAAGGTTATTCGAGATTAGATATTGTTCAGTTGGACTATTTTCTTCTTTTGGTCAATCATTGAGCTGCTGTGTTCTTCCTCCCCACCCCCTCCCCACATTTTTAGATAGGTAATTTACTCTAACCAATTCCGATTGCGGAATTTTCTTAAGCATCACAGTTAACTGAAACTGGAATTTTCCTGGTGGTGTGCTTTAGACTTTTAGAATATAGCTGCAATTTCATTTGGTGATGTTCTGTTGATCAGCAATAGCATACCAATGTCATTTTCATGGAAACGGCCAGGGTAGGTATAGCAAAATTGTGCTGATTTTGGTTACTATACCGAATTATGCATTCTTTTGGGGGAATAGCTTGTTGGTTTGATTGCTCAACTGTTCCTACCAGAATTATTGATAATTATTCGGATGCATTTTCGTCTCCGATTGCAGGACAGATGCAAGAATGGCAATGCTTCCTCATTGATGTCTGCCACTGTGGGATCCTTCTAGACAAGCTCTCTTCCTCCATACCTGGTATGCCTTTGCAGGTACGGAATCTAAATCATTCATTCAATGCGAATATCAAGGGCAAAAGGGTCCCTCGGGCCCTCGGCTGACTGTGGAGATCGTCCATTATATCGACAAATAACAGAAACAGTAAACAAAGAAATGAAAATGGAAGGGATCATAGATTTGTAGCCACATGATTGTGGGAACCCCATGGATGGGAGTCTCTGCCTGAAACTGTACAAAGTAGTAGATGACAAAAGACAAATAGATCAAATATAGACAGTGTATGATTTAGTTCTGTTTTGCCCTCAAGAACTGATAACATCGTGCTGCTTTTTTTTTTAATTAATCACTAGTATCTGATCTATTGATCGACTAATTCAGATCAGAGTTTACTCCATTCACAAACGTCAGGATTTGAACCTTTGACATTGTTTAAAGAATCTAATATCTGATCTCATTAGACTAACTGATCGTTGGTTGGAGGTCGATAAGTATTAAAATTTTCAACCAAACTTGACTCATCATTTTTAACATGAATTCGATCTCCATTAAATTGATAAATATCTTAAACTCCACGAATGTGCCGTTCAACAACTTTAATCAGACTGATATTATTCGACATCACCTTTGACTGACATTAATTTTGTTCGACTTATTATTTTTTTCTTTTCTCTACAAATATTTCGATTTACTGTTTCTTGTAGAAGCTCCATAAAAAGCTTAAAGTTTATCTCAAACTTTCGACCTTCTCCTTTGTCGATCACATAATGTAATTGTTGTATCAGCACGGGATTTAGATTTATTATTTTTTTCATCGATGCCTATATTTTCACTTCACTGTTGAGATTTTTCATTCGACCATTTAAGTGTTGAAGGCAAAAATAGAATTTACAAGTAAAAATAAGTTATGTGATTTAAGGTTTGATTTAATTATGATTTAATATTTATAATTTAATTGAAATTTGGTTGCCAAATTGAAATTAATAAAATGATGAATGTGGTGATCAATTAAAAATTAATAAAAAAATCAAACCAATATACAATTTGATAAATAAATTGTCGAGTGACTAAAATAAAAATATTAAAAATAATAATTAAATGAATTTTAAAATTTTAATAAAAAAATAAGAGTAAGAAAAAAAGTCGAATGATCTATTTAATTTATTTCTATTAAAATGTGAACCACACTCTGAACTGTCGCATTAACCCATCCCATTTTATACTCTGTTCACTGTCAATTCCAATTATTTGAGTTACGTTTCAACTTAAGTAAACATGTCATGTAAGGTTATTATTGTAAGAAAATATTTTAAAAAATTTCAACAACTAATTTTAATTGGCCAATCGCAACCAGTTCTTTAAAACAGTACGACACGACTTAAAAAATAACAAATCGAAAAAAATTAAAATTTTATATTTAATACATTAACAATATATATTAATGATTATAAATATTTTATTAAAAACTGTAACCTTTATTTATAAAATTTAATCTGTAATTTTGTTTAAAAATTAATATTTATTTCACGATACCAATTATTTATCAGTCAAAACACATATGATCCTTTCCATGAATCGTGGAAATAAAACAATGAATTAAAATATAATAACCTTCAATCATAGTATATATCATCATCCTATCTTTATTATTTAATTACTTGTGTCACTGTAATATTGGTTATTATAATATGAAAATCAACTTATTTGTATGACGTGTCGGATTTTTAATATAGAAATTACATAGCATCTCCTACCTAGTCCATTCTAGCGTTTTCCACTTAGCTCCGCAAATGAATTATTTTAACATATATTATAAAGGATAAAAATAATAATTTTAGAAATTGAATAATATAAGGATTCAAATTTTATTATCTAAATTATAGTTTAAAATGAAAGAAAAATTTATAGTCTAACCAAGGACAGATGTATGATTTTTTATAAAAGGTAAACTTTAAAGATATTAAGAGATGAAGAATTTATAAAATTTTAATTATGAAAAAACGTATAATATATATAATGATTTTAATTTTTTATAACAATACTAAATTTCGAGTCTGGTAAATTATACAAAAGCAAGGTAGAGCATATTGAAGAGAAAAAAATACTATAATTACTACGTACGTATGTAACATGATGATAAGATATGCTAGCTCATGAATCACATTTCCTTCAAATATACATATATATTGTTAATTAGATGCAACCATCTGTTGTTGTTGTTGTGCTTCAATCCTGATTTCTTCCTTCATTTTCCTTATGAATTCTTCAATCTTCCTGTTCAATTCCTCCGTGCTGATACTGACCTCATCCTGTTCTTGATCAGCCGCCGACCATCGTTTCTTTCTTTGTTTGTCTTCTTCACCGCCATTGGTATCATCTTCCACAACCACAGATGCTTCACTTTCTTCTTCTTCTCTCCGAGATTCAACTTCGTCTCCACAACTATCTTCTGGTACTTCAACGACTAAAGGCACGTGACGGATATCATACTCACCACCGCCATCAACTTCTAAAGCTTTCGGCCGGCTAGAGACGGAGGTTTTGGCTATGAAAGCGAGGATTCCGTTGCAGATGAGGAACATGTACTTCCTCTCGAGTGTGTGGGTGAATAGTGAGAAAAGGAAAGTGGAGAAATAGACATTGAATGAATATGGGAACAAAGAGTAGGCGAAGCTTGAAGAGTGGCAAAGGAAAATGGACAGAAAAGCAACTGATACAACGATCTGCAATGTGTTTTTAAGAAACTGGTGGTATTTGCCTAAAGCTTGGACCTTCATCTCTACATGCTTCTGGTATTCATCCATAGTTTGAGTCGATTTCTTGTAATCGAAAATGATTTGTTTGAGGAGTGAATGAGAAAGATGATGGTAGGAGTTGGTGAAGCATTTATATATAGAAAAGGCAAGAGCAATGATAAACTTATAAGTAGTAGAAGACGGTGTAATGTAAGGGTAAATGGATATGTGTTTTCTTCTTCCTTTGAAGCTTCTAGGCTCCAGCAAATTATGCCCACTACTTGTACATGCATATCCACTACCACACTGTATCATGACGTTTGGGTTTGGATATTCTTATAATTAGAAAAGAGTAGAAAAAAATGGGGTAGGGATAAGTGTTTGATCGAGTCGAGTTAAAAAAATTCAAATTATTTAAATTGACAAATCATATTTTATACCTCAAACTTGATTTGAAAATTTTCCGAGTTAGTCGAGTTGTTCAAGTTCCTATTTAAATTTAATTGTAAATATTTATAATAATTTGATACTATTTAATTCCAATTTTAATGATTTTCTATAACCATATGAGATATATTTCTTCATATTTTTTTAATATGTGATATACATATATCATACAAAGTCAATGACATCGACTTAAACTTGAAAACTAATCAACTAATTACTAAAAATTTTGAATTATTCTAGTTCTATTAAATAACTCGATTTGCATTTGAAATTTGTTTGAGTCGAATTTATAAAATTACAACTTAAAATCAATTCGAACTGAGTCGAGTTTTACTCACCTTATATCGCGGGATCATTACTCTATTGTCAAAATATATACAACACAACCATTTATAAATTATAAGGTCTCTTTTTTCTTTCCTGACATGAAATTAATATTTCTAATCTCTCTAAAATTTAACATTAAATAATAATTCATAAATTAAATGCTTAAAAAATAGTGATCAACACCAACAACCAGTTGGTCAAGTGGAATGGGGCACTAGGTCTCTTAAGCAAGTCAGGGTTCGAATCCTGACATTGCGAATGGAGCAAACTGGATAGGGAGAATCGCCTTCGCCTTTGCAGTATGCCTTTGCAGTATCCAATTTGGATTTAATCGATCAATAGATCGGATACTAGTGATTAATTCAAAAAAAAAAACTAGTGATCAACTACCTCATAGAGACAAGAGAAACATTAATTGTGTTGCAATTATCTTAATTAGTGCCATCTGTTTAAAACCATTTCAACCAAATTAACTCCGCTGAAAACTATATGGAGAACTCGAGAAAACATTAGGGACTTCATTGTATCATTACAATTACCCAGCTTCAACTCTGCTGTTTCACCGGAAAAAGGGAAAAGAATCCACAATTTATATTAAAAGCTTAATATAATATATAAAAATTATATTCGATACATTATCCACAAAATGAACATAATCATATATATATATAATGATAACGGTGCAGGCGGCATTAACTCTAGTTGAGAGAGTGTACATATGCTCTCTCTAAATTATGCTCATTAAGATATATAACGTATCCCACATGATAAACTGAATAAATAGATGATTCTAACTCATATATATAATACGATTATGTAATACTGCTCATAGTTATTAACTGCATGCATACATCGTCGAGCTCGAGAAATTATCTTCAAACCTGAAACGCCGACGAAAATCGATCAATGTTGATCAGGCCACAAGAATGCCCCCATTGCATAAGCTCTCTTCTCATCAAGGCTGCTAAGGCTGCCGTCTAAATTCAGGCCATATTCTCTGAGAAGCAGATCCACTTTCCACTCCTCCATCTTCTCGTAATTCGATTTCGTGTACCGAGGGTAGTGCAGCGGCATCTGGAACCCCGAGTCGGGGTACTGTTTCACTTTCCGAGACGATGTTGGATCACAGTTCGACGAGACCTTCGAGCTCTTACAGTGCCTCAGGTTATTAGGCTCGTTCTGGTACCCCAACACATGACATGCAGAATGCAGAAACCATCTCAGAGCCATGGTTCTTCCCTGTATATCTCATAGCTTTCACCCACATATATATATATATATATATATATATATATATATATATATATATATATATTATGGGAGTGAAGACAAAACACGTGAGGGACAACACTTCGTATTACAAGCATCAATCAAGCAAAGCAAGGCTATTCTTATACGACATATAATTCAATTTAATAATTAGGCATTGATTCTTCAAATATTATATTTAGGGTTAGGTTTTTTTGTCTAATATAATATTTGGATCGTCTACTTGAGGTGTTTACTCGTGTCTTTTCGTGTATAATCGAGTGTCTTATTGTCCAAAGTTTCGCTTCTCTTAACCTTAAATTAGGGTTATAATTAATTTATAATTAATGATTGAGCTTAATGATTAAACTTTTTTTAATTGTTATCGAATAGAAAAGAGTGTTTTGAAATGTACAATTTATGTTGTGTACTAGAAGACGAGTAGAGATATAACTTGAGTGGGAAGAGATGGACTTGTGAATTATATTTTATACATATATGGTCATATCATCACAAATATGATCTGATGAAACTTAAAAGAAAACAACTAATCATTCATTATTCTAGAATTTTGGTCGAGGGGATTGAGCCAAGTCAGTCGTTTGTTATGATTTATATTTGATATATTGTTGTTAATGAATATAATCATATATTATTAAAAATGTTGTAATATTCTAAATCCATATTGGATGTCAAATAGGAGGTTCCTAAACTACAATTTCGTTCTCAATTTATCTTTAATTTTAAAATATTTAATTTTAGTCCTCCTGTGGTTTTACCTTCATATGTTTGCTTTAGAGGTCGATTCTCATCTTCCAACCCACAAATTTATAAAATGTGTTCAACACTTATGGCGTAGCTCTGTGTCAAGTGGTTAGATTTTCTTAGTGGATTCTCATCGGTTACTTTATTTATTATTGACAAAGAAATTCGTCGTCTTTGATACTCGTGTTTCGAAACCTATTTACTTTGAATAATTTTGCTCAGAAAACCTATATGGGGCTGCTAAGTTTTGCACATAGATGTGGTAAAGGCTTTGAAGTTGGGAAGCCCATCTCTGGTTGGAACACCATATTAAAACAGAGCTTGGATCACTCAAAATTTATGAAAGTGACTTACAAGTTGTTTGAGGGTTTTGGTTTTCCTCTTCGATAGAGCAAACTGAGTCAAGTCGTAAGGGTTGCTACATCGATTTTAAGGAAGGAGGAGAAAAACTAGCTAGCCGTTTTGAAGGAAGCTGAGTGGTTAAGCATTTTAGAGATAATCACAGCTCAACTTCTGTTTTGGTATTGTCTTAAAATTAATAGCCCCAATGGGGCTAATGATACCGTACCTGTTGATGATTTTCCTTCGGGGGTTAGGAGTTGTAGGGGAGCATGGCCCCATGGAGGAAAGGATAATTTGGCGAAGGTGTTAATGGGTTTTAAGGTAGAGGAGGGGGATACTATGCTTGTCTGTAGTAATTGTCACCATAGAGCATGGTCGAAAGGGTTTATATTAAGGGATCATGTCAGGGGTTTTGGACCTTATATGGATGATGAGAGTGTCGCGGAAGAATTATTGCGTCCAAAGGTGACTCCAACAGAAGAAGTCGATCAAGAGTCGAAGGACTCCCTTAATAATGCCTTGAGTGAATTGACAGGGTGTGATTCAGATAATTTTCGAAGTAAGAAGAGTGGTAGGCCAGAAAGGATTCATAGTCTGTTGGACTTTTGGTGTTTCGATGCAGCTTTTTAGAGTAATGGGTTCGGGGAGTTATTGGTTTGAGGGATTAATCGTTTAGGTTTCAATCAATTCAAATATAAATTAAATGAATTTAAGTTGTTAATTTTTATACTATTAAATTGAATCGAATCTTCTGGTACAGGCTAATATGCCATTAATCCAATCTATAGTAATATATTTATTCCGCATAAAATTAACGATACATACATATGTATATCAATATGCGGCATGAGAGATAAGATTATCTTGAAAGGATAAGATAAAGTTGTGCTAATGGAACGACCACAAAAACTGAGTAAACTCAAAGAGAAGCAAAAACCAAATAAGCTGAAAACCTAATATCCATAACTGTAAGTAAAATCGGTGATTCCAACCATAGCCGAAAGTATTTGCGAAACAATGAAGATTCCACCACCCAAAATCACCAATATAAGAACCGCAGAGATGGGGTTCTTCAACAACTCCAGTATAGGCTGCATGATGGTATAAATAGCCCCCGTACTGACCGTCAGTGCATAAAGCGCGTATCTCCTCACATTGTCCCAAAACACCTCCATCAACGGCCCTTCAGGACCCAAAGCCAAAGCCTTTTGAACATCGGCTTCCATCAGGATCAAAGCCAAACCCATAGAAACAGCTCCCACCACCACGAACCGTGAAAAATCACTTGGTGGAGCATATGTGCGCTCTCTTTTGTGGGTTTCTTGAATCACTGGCTTGTTTATTATTGCAGTGGTTCTCGGTGGCGTGCTCCGGTGGTTGTTGTTGTGGGTTTTGAATGTGGTGATGCGTTGAAGGGGGTGGATGATGGTGGTGGAGATTTTGTGGTGAGGTTGGTGTGGCTTGGAGCCGGATGGGGAGGGGGAGATTTGGAGAGTGAGCGTTGAGATCTTCATTATTATTATTTTTTTGGCCGAGAGTTGCAGAGCTTTTGGGATGTTATTGCTAAGCTTATTTGGGTGGCAATTGGCACCTACTTCCAAGTGTGATTACTATGAGGGGGTGAACTTTCATTGTCGTTCATCCACACCTTATCCTTCTCTATCTGTATATATATATTTAACCAGTACGCACCTTATCGTATATACACCTAAGAGAATACATTTAACTCTGTTAACATATTGTTAAAAAAATTTAAATTATTATATATTTGTGATATTTTTTTATCGATAACTTATATTTTCTCTTAAGTTTTGAAAAGTTAGTTTTTTTCTTAATGTTTTAGAAGTTAATCTTATAACATAAGAGTACGGGTCCTTAATATAACATACAAAATTAAAATAAAATCTTTTGTTTAATAATAAGATTTTGAATATTATATATAATATATGAAATAATAATAAATTAAAGTTGATGAAAAATAGTTGAATATTTTGTATTTAATTTTTTTAATAATTTTAATTTATTATCTTATAATGTATGCTTTTTTTTTTGAAATTTTTTTATGAGTTAACTGTATGATTGTTCACTTTCGTTTGTGTTAATAAGTGTTATCGAATCTTTGAGGAAACCGGACATAGCCTTGTTGTTGTTTACGTGGTGATTACAATCAATATTCAGACAACTAAAATAGAGATTGAACTTAAAATTTTATAATAGGCGTGTTGAACTTATGAAATTTTAGAAGAATAAAATATATTATTAATAAAAAATATATAAAGTAAATATTTAAATTATATGGAAATTTAAACTTGTGAAGGAACCCTCCCACTGACCCCCTTCCTCAAAATATTTACAATGGGCAAGAGATGTAAAACAAACCAAGATGTTAAGAAGACGTCAGTTGTGGAACATGAGTCCGTAACTGTAAACATGCATGCACTTTATTCATTAAAAAAACCAAACCAAGATGTCAAGAAGACATCATTTGTGCTACGTTTTTTATTTAGCGAAGTAACACGACTCATTCATTACATGTTTTAAGGGCCGCTGTCCTATTTATCGTCTCACTTCCTCTTCTCCTCCTCAAGCCATGCCTTTGCTGGTTGCCATCCTAATCATCTGAAAAATAGCTGTCAAGTAAATGAATATAGTTACAATTCAGTCCTCATACTTTATAAAAATTTACAAACAAATCCTATAAATAAAAGGGCAGAGAGGCAGCATACATGATCCGACAACCACAAAGACAAAGAAGCCTAGAAGAATTGGACCGACAGGGTACCCATTGCTTTTCCTTGTTGCCACAGATCCCCTCTTTGTAATGTTCCTTTGAAACATTGCAACCTTCATTCCCGATAGGCGCTTTGAGGTAGTCTTATCAAAATCACAATTACAACAAATTCCATTAGAGTAAAACACGGTACAGGTGAACTTAAGAGGACTAAAACTGCAATTCTATCATTTAACCAAGGGGGAAAAAACATCACAGAAGCATCAATATCGACATGCAATTGCAATACGATGATTCATACATATCCTCACATGGATTACCGTTGATAAAGTTATCAAACAGAGAAGCACGCACACTCTGTCTCAGAAGAGAAAATGAGATAAGAAACAATTGCAAATTCAGCATAGAAGAGAGTATATTTAGAGATGGACCTATGATTTTACCTTACAGGATGAACTTTTAAAATTTTATGAGGGAAAACTTATAAAACAGATTATCAATAAAAAATATAAAGAAAAATATAAAATATACGATAATTTGAAAATTTCAAGCGATAACTGCCTTCGGTGTATCCCTGAGTGCAAATTATACAGAAACGTTGAGGTTTACCATTTTCTAGAAGTGCGTTTGTTGAAAGCAGCGGCGAGGGTTAGTGAGGGAGGGGATGAGAAGATGGGTGGTTGCTGAAAGAGTGAGAACAGGTATCTTTTTCTATGCAAAACGTGGTGACAACTTTATTTTTGTGCGATACGTTATGAGCAAAATGACATCTAAATTAAGAAATAAAATCAAACATGGAAGTTTTCATTGTTTTTAGGTTATATTATTAATGCATTCGTGATCGGTATTAAATATTTGATTATAGGTTAATTCCTATGTTTAAACTTGGCAACGATCTAATTTACAGATTATTTCCAATTAAATCTTTTGTCAGTTATGTACGAATCAAGTGAGATTAGTGATGAAGGAATTTGTTATTATCTCAAACTATGACTTTTATTTTGCATTGGTCCCTAAACTTTAAACTTTTGATGTTTCAATAACGTATCCTATTCTACTCTCTTTCGTGCTAGCAGAGGTGTGGAACATGAAAAACTCAGCAGCTTTACCGAGTAACAATTTCTTGGGGGGGGGGGGACAGCCTTCATTTATTGATTGTCAAATGGATTCCAAAACTACACTTTTATCATCATTAACATTATATATTATATATAACAAACGTAAAATTACATAAAAAAAAACCTTGGAAATTACCCTATAAAAGTGAAACAAATTAGTACATATTGGCACCCAAATTTCTACCAGCCGGAGCTGTTCTTGCCCTTATTGCCACCATATAAGCGGAACACACCAAAAGCAGAGATACAAGACAGGACCACCATGATAATGCACACCAGTAGTGCCACTGCTATTCCTTCACCAACCTGATTGCAGAATTTCCCGTACATGTTGCATATCACCATCCACTGGAGCTGCGTTTGCCCCAGTTTGGCAAACGCAGCTGATTGTGCTGCGGCTCCCACTGCAGCCACGTTCAAGTACGCCAGGGCCTGCAAAAGAACATCGTATGTTAATCATTATATATATATATGTGTGTGCATGTGCATGCTCATTTCTGGATACATAAAAGACATGCCCTGCTTAAATCAGGGCCACTCTATCCTCTCCTTCAAGATAGGAAAATGCAAATGCTGGATATTGTTAAGGTTTGATTAAGGTTGAATCCAGTCGAACTAAGCTTGAACAGTATGGAGTTCAAGCTCAAGATTGACTAAAATTTACTACTTTGCCTTGAAACTTGGCTTCCATGATTGAATTCTATTATTGAAACTCCTTGACATGATTTTCAAACTCGAACTTAAACTTGAAGTAATGTTGAACTATTTAAACTTGACTCAATTAAGCTCCTTAACGTGACTCATGTATTCAGGGTCAAAGCCAGGATATCAGTTCAGAGAGAGGTAATGTATAGTTAACAATAGAAAATGGAGGACAAAATCAAAATAAACTAAATATGGGGTTTAAGGTTGGATCGAGTCGAACTGAACTCAAACAGTAAGAAGGTTAAGCTCAAGATAGACTCAAATTCACTACTTTGACTTGAAACTCAGCTTCCGACCGGATTAAATCATATTATTGAAGCTCCATGATTTTCAAACTCGAACTCAAACAAAAATGCTCAACTTACATTCATTAACATCAAGTGAACCCAAGAAAACCAAACCAAGCCATGCAAGTGTAAACTACAACACGATTCTCACATGTTCATTAAATTTTATCATTTCATTTATGTGCATTATCAGCCAACTATCACCACAAATTTTCCTTCTCCACCTACCACCATTACTTATCAGATTTTCAAAACCGCGTGAAGATCCCGTCCACCATTACTTATTTGCGTTTACAATGAAAAACTCATATAAATCATAGAACGAACACGAAAAGTAAAATAAATTATTAACTATTTAGTTAACAAGTAAATAAAGGTAGATCAACAATCAATCTCCATGAAACAGCATCAATGACCAACCTTTTTTTCTCCTAGGAAACTTGCTTATAGAGGGTACACGTAGTTATATGAGTTCCCAGAGGGTTTTCGTTTTTCCAGACAATAATATGAAATAAAGGCTTAGCAGCAATATTACCTACTACCCTGACAAATACATTAACTTCAACATTCAAAGCTTGTCTAACAACAAAATTTTGTGACCAACTTTTCTTTTTCAGTTTCTATTTCTTTTCTCTCTACCACTTGAATGAAACAATTGTTCTTCTCTTTCAATTCATTCCACCTACTTAGAGATAATTCCCATTTTACAGTTTTTTTACTTTATTTTGGCCTAATATTCATTTTAATTCTAGTTTAGGTATCAAAGTGAAAAAAAAAATAGTTAAGCAGAGACAGATGTATAATTTCATATTAAGGGAGGGCAAACTTATCAAGTTTTAGGTGAGTCAACTTATAAAATTTTAGTGGACGAAAACAAATAATTAATGAAAAATACAAAGAAAATATCTAAAATGCACGAGAATTTAAATTTTACAGGGGCCACTCTCCCACCCACCCCTTTCAATCGATCTCTCGTTAAGAGGCTGAATTGAGTATTAAACCTTTTTTTCATCTACTAAGCATGCAATTAAGAATCATCTTTTTTCCTTTTAGAAAGAATGTAAGCATGAAAACTGCAAAAATAAATGGTTATATTTGGTTAAATGAACGCTTTACCCAATTCTGGAAATATGAATATTTCTGCTGCTGAAACATACATATATATACACATACATATATAAGGTATGGGGGAGATGCATGCAAAGAGAACAATACTAAACAAAGAATACAACACAAATAAACCTGATCTCCAGAGAAGATAGCCAAAGCCAGAGGCTTACTGAAAAGCACACTTCCTCTCACCATACCCACAGCGCAACGCACTGCTTGTGCCAATGAGTAGGCTGCAGATATGACATTTGCTACCACCAAAAACCTGGGTAAAATGTACACAAAAGTTTATCAAAAGAAGTAGAAACTTTAAAAGAAGGGGATAACGTCTAGAGAGCAAAGGGTCATTACATAACGGCTTTCATGTCTGTAAATCTAGCTGTCTTTCGAATCGAGAAGATTTCCTTGGTCTGAGTATCTGTTCCCACAAGAACAGCTGCAAGAACACTTAGGCCACATATCATACACCTTAAGACCAGCTCTGTAAGTTTCACTCTTCTATCGATGACCTTCAAATCAGTGCCCGGTATACGGGGACATTGCCGGGGCTAACTCCCACACCCAGGTAACTCATCTTTTAGCTTAATACCTTAAAGACAATACCCTAACGGAGAAGGAAGAAATGAAGTAAACCAGCAAAAGCTCTTGAAAGAACAATGCACGTACACGGTAGACCTAACTAAGTTCCAGTGCCACCAGCATACAACCACCCCCTTCTTAAATAGGCTCGACCAAGACTTGGTTGGAAGAGTAGAATGTATAAAGGTTAAAAGAAAAAGAGCAAATAATACTAGTATTTTATTGTGCTTTGCTTGAAAAATGATTGACGAAAAAATTAATATTATTTTACTAGAATAAATGAAAATGACATGAAATGATTTCTTGCATTAAATTTGACAACTATATTATAAAATAACATATTAAAACATAAAAATAGATTATTATTGATTTGTGGTATTTATAAAAGAACGAGTGATAGAACTCATCAAATGAACTTAGTTTAAAGGGGTGTTATTCTCCTTAAAAGTATTGAGCTTGAGTACTTGTAATCCCTCATACTATTCAAAAAATAAGTGCAAGTTGAGATGAAAATATTACAAATAAAAACTAAAATTACTTTTAGGTCGGATAGAATAATATTTTCGGGTGTAAGTCATAAACGTAAGTTTTTTGTTGCAACCACAAATATTATAAATTTAAATAATTTTTTGGTTGAACAATATAATATTTTAAGTTAAAATGTCTTAAATTGACCTTAAACTAGATCAGTGCACAACAGAATTATCCCATTGATGAGGTTCTTGTCTGATGTTTATGTTCCTACCGGCCTTTACCTTGTAATAATAGGTTCAAGTTAAACATGTTCCAGATCAGTAGCATAACGTCGTTTTTCAATATATATTGCTATGGGTTTTGTCGTTGCACTAGGGCCTTTTTTGTTGTAAAATTCAAATAACAATGAAATTTCATCTGAAGAGAATTAAGTAATTAAATTCCATTTATTTCAATAAATACAAATAATTATAGAGATTTGACTTTTGGTTTCAGATATGTGGTGATAGAGCTTTGCCTAGCAAGAGTGTGGGAGTGTAGAGGGAGAATATAACGGATGTTTTTTCTATTAGTATGAGATAGATATAAGATAATTTATGTTCGAAAGATTATTAATCATTTAAAAATAAATATTCATACACTCTTATAAGTGTGTTCCAACCCAGGGCCTCAAAGGATGTTAAAACGGTTAATTCAATTTATCAGCCGAATCAAATTAGTTAAAACTGAATTAATTAATTTTTTAATCATTAATTGAATCAATTTTTTTAAAAATTATTAACCAAATCAAACAAAGTTCGGCAATTTTTTTAAATTAATCAAAATTTGTTGGAAATTTTTTAGTTAGATTAACCTAAGTTAATCTAAGTCTAATTTTCGTATCTTAATTAACAAATTAATATTCAAGTTTAGAATTTTTAACAGAAACGGGTGAATTTGGAGCGCCCTTAGAGCCCACACTCTAAAATCATGGAAATGGAGGATTGAACAAAGATGATGGAACGTGTAGTCAAACAAAGAGGCGTAGAGGGAAAGGGCCATGTCATGTGTACAGACTAAGACCACACAACGGGGGACATTAATGGCGTTTAACCTCTGCATTAATGACATTTTCGTGTGGGGAAAAAGAAAACCCGGAAAAAGATGAATGAAACACCAGCACAGGGTTTTTCTTTCATTAATATTAGGCACTAGAAGGGGCATTTGTTGTTCCAAGAAGAAGGTGAGATAAGGTTTAAGGGACTGCCCTTAATCTTTCTCTCACAACGATGCTGCTGCAGGGTGTGGCTTGGATTTAATGACTACCCATTGCTTCTTCTTCTTCTAATGAACGTTGCAT